AGATTTTCATGGCGCGCAATTACTTGGAATGAAGTGGCTGTTTTTCAGTTCATTTTGTATGAATCATACATCTTTTTAATTATTGATAAAAATTATCATAATATTAAGAAAATACTTTTTCATCAATAATTATATGATTTATAATTTTTTTAAAATTACTTTAAAAATTAATTTTTAAATTTACTTTTTTAATCAATTATTTTTTAAACTTCACCGTACATTCTCTTAGTGCAATAATTAATTTTCAAAGTCATCCGCGAACCTTTTAACAGGTAAAAGGCACTGCCAATTCAACAGAACTTGGTATTTGTTTATGAAGAAAAATATAAAGGATTTGAAAGGTTTACTGAGTTGTATCTGATGAGTGTACTATACAAGAGTAGAGATATATATAATTGTAATTACATGATCACATCCATTTGTTATGCCTAGGATTAAGGAGAGTAACGTTGCTTGACCGTTGCTCATAATATTCCTTGATTATTGCTTTGGGTTTGATTGGCCTGGATACTTTCCTTCCTGGTTTGATTGACCCGCTCCTTCATACTCCCCCTCAAATTGGAGTGTGGGGAAGCAACCACTCCAAGTTTGAACCTCAACATTTGATATTGCTGGCGAGGCAAAGGCTTTGTCAGTATGTCTGCAACTTGCTCTATACTAGGGATATATCTGGTAACCAAGCTGCCAAGAGCTACCTTTTCGCGAACAAAGTGATAATCCAATTCAATGTGTTTGGTGCGGGCATGAAAAAAAGGGTTAATAGACATATACAAAGCACTAATGTTTTCTGAAAACAATTGGGGTGGTGAGGGTAGGGAGATTCCAATGTCACGTAAGAGATAGGTGATCCATACTATTTTTGTCGTGGTGGATGCTAGTGCACGATACTCTGCTTCAGCTATTGATCGAGCCACAATGGGTTGCTTCTTTGAAGACTAGGAAATACAATTTGCCCCAAGATATATACAATAACCTGTGGTGCTTCTCCTGGTAGTTGTGCAGCCTGCCCAGTTGGCCTCACAAAAGCCAATTAGGGATAGTGTGCTACATGAGTAGAACCACAATCCAAAATTCATAGTCCCCTTAATGTGTCTCAGTATATGCTGGACCTGTTGAAGGTGAGCAAGTGTGGGACTTTGCATAAATTGGCAGACTTTATTAATAGAGTGACAAATATCTACGTGAGTAATTGTAAGATATTGAAGAGCACCAACAATTCTTCGATATTCTTGTGCATCAACAAGTTCTGCATCCCTTGGGGTTATTGATTCTGCAATTGAGAGAGGGGTTGCAACCGTTGATGCTTCAAGCATTGAGGCACGAGTGAGGATGCCACTTGCATATTTTGCCTGAGACAAGAAGATACCTCCATTGAATTTATTAACCTCTATACCCAGAAAATACCTAAGGGCTCCTAAATCCTTGAGGGCAAAATGTCTACTGAGATGATTGATGATATCCTTAAGCAATAGTCCAGAAGTTGCAGTGAGTACAATATCATCAACATATAGAAGGAGCAAAGCAACACATTGTTGGTTATGTAATACAAATAAAGAAGAATCAGCTCAGCTACAAGAAAATCCCATTTGTAGAAGATGCAACGTAAAAGTATCAAACCATGCCCTCGAAGCTTGCTTGAGACCATATATTGACTTGTGTAGTTGATAGACATATGTAGGGTGTTTGGGATGTTCGGGATGTTCAAAACCTGGTGGCTGACTCATGTAAATTGTTTCTTTGAGCTTGCCATGTAGAAATGCATTCTTTACATCTAGTTGTCTTAGAGGCCATCCAAAAGTTGTTGCAAGAGCAATGACTAATCGGAGAGTGGTAGGTTTTAAAACTGGACTAAATGTTTCATCAAAGTCTACTCCAGGTACTTGAGTGAAACCTCGTGCTATTAACCGAGCCTTGAATCTTTCTATAGTGCCATCAGGATTCAACTTTGTTTTAAGCACCCATTTGGACCCTACGATGTTCGTTGGTGAAGACGGTAGAGGTACTAGAGTCCATGTGTTGTTTTTGTGAAATGCATCTAATTCTTCTCTCATGGCATTGAACCAGTGTGGAATTTGGAGTGCCTTCTTCATTGTTTTTGGCTCTTGGATGTCATGATTTGCAATGTTAAAAAAAGGATCATTAGTATTCATGTAATTTGCATGCTTTGTGAATATTGTTTTAACATGACCAGTATGAGTCCCTACTCGAGCTCTTGTTATCATAGGATGATTGGAGACTGAAGTTGCATTATGAGGTGGTGGTGATACTCCACTGTGGTTGAGACTAGAATTTTCAGATTCTCCAGTAAGTTGATGTTTTGCTGGTTCTTCATTAAGTCGATGTTGCATTATATCTTCTGATGAAGAAGATACATTTGTATGGCTTGATGATTCAGCAGATTGTGACTCACCTATATGGC